AGATAAATATTTTTTTAAAAAAGAAACTTATACAGACACAAAAATCTTAGATGAACAGACCTGAGATAGATATATAGATAATATATATATAGATAGTGAATGACTAAGTGTACTTAGATGCTTAAACATTTTAGATAGATAGATAGATACCCTGTTCACAGACTAAGCTAGATAGATAGATAGATATGATAGATAGATAATTAACAGATAAAATTTTATAGATTAAGATAGATAGATAGATAGATAGATAGATAATGAACAGATAAGATAGATAGATAGATAGATAGATAGATTTTGTTAGATAGACTAAGATAGATAGATAGATAATGAACAGTACTAAGATAGATAGATAGATAGATAGATAGATAGATAGATAGATAGATAAATTGAATAGATTATAGATAGATGTTTAATAGATGAATTTTAGATAAATCTAATGAAAGATTGAAGATAGATAGATAGATAGATAATATTAGATAGATAATGAACATCTCAAGATAGATAGATAGATGATAAAACATAGATAGATAATGTAACTATTTTCCACATGCTGTCCCAAAAGATAGTGGATTCCCGGCAACACTTATATACACAGCCACACAAAAAGGCCAACTGTAAAAGAAATATCATAGTGTTCAACCCGCCGTAAAACAAAAAGTAAAAGCAAATGTAGGAAAATATTCATTAAACTCATACAGAAACAATTTTTCCTCTCCAGGAACTCTCCACATTCAACAAAAACGCAGTAAAAATCAGCTACAGTGACACAGAGAACATGAGACAAATAATTAAAAAAAACACAACATGAAAATGTATCAAATACATGCAGAGCAAAGAATGAATGTCCCTTGAACAGTAATTGTGTGTGAGATTTCATGTAATTTTTCAACCCATGTGTATTTCTATATATTTAACGAATCATTTATAAAAACAAATCATATATTTATATTATATATAATATATATATATATATATATATATATATATATATATATATATATATATATATTTATATATATATATATATATATAAATATATATATATATATATGGTATTACATCATATATATAGGAGTAATCCTTTTATCTTTAAATTTTTTATAAAGAAATAAAATGTGTTTTTTTTTCAATATCTGCTGATTTTTACAGTGGACTTGATATGAACATTGTTTTGTATGCAATTTTGTTTAAATCTCATTCAGGTGCTCTTTTTTTCAGTTAAAGGTATTTTTGATTTGTGCAGTAGATTTCTTTGGATATTTTTTCAGCTATCAGATTTTTTTTTGAAATATTTGTGTTGTTGTTCTTGGTGAAAACTATAGCTGATTTTTTTAAGATCCACCATTTTCATAGTTGATATTCAACAAAAACACAATAAAAAATCAATATATATATCAAGTACGAATTGAGTACTCCGGGTCACTGGCGTATTTCGTATAGAAAACGTTAAAATTTCCCTTTCTCTCTGCTATGCGACCATAGTTTAGTCACACTGAAGAGCTGTATGTCGATGTCAATATCTATCTATCTATCTATCTATCTACACACACACTCTCTCTTTCTTTCTCTCTCTCTCTCTCTCTCTATATATATATATATATATATATATATATATATTGCCATTGTTTTAAGTTCGATTCCTACAAATTCTTTCATTCTTCTTTTTTTTAATTCTTTTTTGCCTAACTATAAAAAACCCGAATATTTGTCGATGGCGAAATTCTTTCGGAGTTAAGTGTTAACGAATCTGATTCACAGTTATGTGATAATAAAATATATTGTCTTTGAATGGAATCCATTAAATAATGTAGAAATGTGGAATGAGAAAAAACTTAGTTGATAGAATAGAATAGATTTTTACCTTGTTTAAATAGAACAACAGATAGACAATGTTTGAAAATAAAATGAAAAAAAAGAATAAATTAATCATAGTGTTCATCGCGCGGACAAAGTCCATAAAAAAAGGGCTGAGGGTTCCTCTATCATTAGGATCGTTAGCAACATTTACTTCAATCCGAGTTTAATGTCTCCTTTCTTTATCTCACTATATTCAGTTGTAGTTATTTTTTTAAAAATCAGTCTGAAGATTTCATTGGCTAATTTAAAGGTTTCATATTTCTGGCATCTGGGTTGATTTTGATTCATTTCTTTGTGTAACGGTATATCAACATCTTCATGGGTCATTTAATGCCGAAATTTAATTTTCTTGTGAGCTTTGAAGTAATAAAAATATGATATATGTTATTCGACTTTCGCAGTTGAATACATGGTAGATGATACTCATCTTTTCGGCATATACATTTTTGTGTGAACGTGATTACTAGACGCGGTGATATGTGTGTTTTATGTGGTAGCTTTGTTGAACTTAAATTTTGTAATACAGTTTGATTTCTTTAAGAAATTCTATAATATTATATGGATTAATATCATGAAAGAGTTGGATTGTGTGGTTGGTTGGTTTTGTTTAAGGACATATCAATCTTTATCTGTGTTATTTAAAGCCGAGATATAAATATTTTGAACTCAATTCTATGCTTTAAATTACAGATAAAATGTATTATTGGTAACTTTTTATATAAACGTATTGTTGATATTTATACTATAAAAAGGTATTTTTATACTTTTTCAATTTTTGTTGGGGGGTCACTATTTTTCCATAGCTGGGCCCTAACAGGTTCTACCATTTAGATGTGGTCCTACGTCTCTGAAAAAACGCCAATCTCTCGCTCAGAAGCCTTGCTGCTGAATGTCACACTGTCTGCAGCAATGGAACTGCTTCGACTCGAACACCGAAATAATCTAGCGTTAGCATTATTTCTATTAATATAGTGATTTACTAAGCAAAGCTTAGATGTGGCACAAGGCCAAAATTATGGAGCAAGCAGTGAGGATCGAACTCACTACTTCGTCATTTTTTTGATCTAGCAAAAGAGTTTCTAAATACCTTTCTAAGCGTAGCTACAGATTTGGCACAAGGCCGAAAATGTGGGGGCTCCAGTGATGATCGAACTCACTATCAGTCGTAATTGATCTCAACTTTTGAAGATTAACCATTACATCACGTCGAAAAAA